TTAACTATAAAAATTCTGGATCTCATTATATTATTCACAAGTTATGTTTATGTTCATTAGAGGGATATACCAAATTAATGTTACTTCTATACTATCCTAGTCTATTTGAGACTGGCATACAGATAAAAATAATTGATCTATACTAGCTGGAAGACAAAACTACTTTCAATAAGCATATTATACTTTTAGATTAAAAAAGCAAGTAAATTATCAATCACATGAAGGGATATTATTAATGTACTGACTACTGATGAATATCTAATTTTTAATTCGTTTTATTAATTAGATTAACTTAAAAATTGATTAAAAAAATGAACAAGCTACTTCGGTCTTGTAGACGTTGGCTATCTATCTAGCTATGATCTTTACCATCACAACGTTGTTAATTAAAGGAAAGGATTCCCTATTATAATTTAAATGTTATACCTATTCTATGAGATAGGGATAGGAGGTTAGAAGGAAAAATAAGATTGCGTGTGTGAAATTGTTGGGGAGTAGTTGATAGTTCAATATCTATAATAATTAGGAAGTAGACTTGAAAAGATAAGAAAAATGTTCATTGTATTCTACCTTAATTTTGCACAATTTCTTACAGAATAAATTGTCTGGAGAAAGAGAAAAATATATAAGTATTAAATTCACGTGCTAAAAAATAATATATAAAAATAAAGTGATGGATTAAATGTGCAAATGATTTACAAGTTGAAGAAGTATTTGCTTCCAAAGTGGCCTGTGTGGTCCTAAGTTATTATCCATTAATTTATATAAATAAAACTTGGGAATTTATTTCTCTACGAATTTTGTTACCGCGATATATAGAATCTACATATATATATATAACGCATGCACGGAAGAGATTTATGGAGAACGAAAAAAGTGAGATCTTTTAAAAAGGAAAATCAAAATTATATCCTTGTGTACATTTAAGATTTTAACAAAATGCAAATAGTGGAACTTTAATTTTTAATGTATTTTTATAGTTTATAGTAATTGCTTTCACGAAAATGCAGTTTATTTTTCTTTCTAAAGGCTAAACTGCTGAATTGTTATCATTGTGTATAGCGTGTAGTGGAAGAATTTTATTAAGAGTTAGAAATGAATGCAATATTTCACTTAAAAAATTTGCATATGTTCTTAATTAAATTTGAATTAATTTATCAAAGGAATATTTTACCATTGTATAGTTTGTAGTTTTTAATAGGTTTTAACCTTGTAAAAAAAAACCTATAATAAATAATAGGTTATTAGAGTGTGTATTGTTTACCCTCCTTAGTTTAAAATGAGATTTAAAGTTAAAACCATAAAAAAAGTCTTTTATTTTAAAATAATGATATTAAACATAAACTTTAAAATATATTTTAAAAAAGAAAAAAACTAGGCCAGATGTAAACTTGTGGTTTACTCAATCTCCACTTTCAATTAAAATACATATGTGATGTTAAATTCAGAAAAGAAACAATAAGATTTAATATTTTTGGTTAATTTGTTATGCTATTGTCAATAATCTTTTGTTTTGTAATCAATAAATATAAATAATTGACTTATACTTAACGAATATACAGGTCAATTATACTTGCTTATAATTTAAAAACTATTTACACTTATTTATTTATCAAATAAAAATAGTAAATGGTTGCATTACTTGTAGGACCACTGGACAGTTATCGAAACGAGAAGGAATAAGGATAATGCATGCAAACTTTACTTTGAAAAAAAAAAATAGTTACACGATGATAAGTAAATAAATTAAAAAAAAAAGAGACGACATTTGTGAAAAAGAAAAGGATGAATATGTATATCATTATTATGATAATGAATTTTCCATAATATAAATAATACAGTGTTGAAATGCAATTAGCTAGCACTTCCAAGAATAAGACTTTGTTACAGTAGAGTTATGTCTCAAAAATGGGATTAGTATAAATTGAAGCTTAAAGTGTTTAAAAGTTGGACCAATATTATGGCTATGCAAAATGCATCGTAGTATCATTCTTCTTAATACCCCCATTCTCCACGAATATATCTTCAAAACCTCATTTTTGCGTCACGTTAATTAATTTCATGTTTTCTTTAATTTCTTGTATTCTTTGTATTTATCTTTAGTGCTAGAGGAAACAATACGATGTCGTTTCTGAAAAGACAAGAAAAAGTAAAAGGAAATTTTGTTGTTTTTGTTTTGGTCAAAAAGGAAAAAAATTATTTAACTTAACGGAAGAGCCAAAAAAGATTATCATCTCTACACGTACGTCCTTCCTGTTTAATGGACCAAATTTGTTAGATTCGTGAAAAGAGGGTTCAGAGATTGGCGAGTTTGTGGAAATTAATGCATGCCATATGAAGGGGTCAATATATATTTAATAATTCATCATCTTTTAAATTAGTAACCACGTTTTTTTATTATAGAATCATCGCTACTTAACAATATTGAATAAGGATAACATTTTACATTTGACTATATCAAATCATAAGATTAAGGAAAACTATAAAAAAAAAGAGACATGATAATATTAGTAAAGTTTTGGGATAACTAATATTTATCTTAGCTACTCCAAAGGTTTTAAATTTTTTATTGGTAGTATATAAATAAATAAAAATATTTAGGTAGTCATAGCTATCTCTAATGACTACCCCTAATTATAATGTGGCTCTGTCCTTACTAATCATTCTCCCGAATTACTGTCATAAACCAAACAATAATTTAAAATGTTTAGGTATATATATTAATTAATATATATATATTGCATATATTTGACACCCACCCCTCATGAACAGTATTGAACTCTAGAATATTAGGCTACAGAAATTCTAACATCATGCCATTAACAAACCTTTCTAAACGTTTAAAATGAAGTAAAGAAATATAAATAATTTTAAATTACATCTCTATCATCACACATATATAGCTTTAATACAAAAAAGCTCTTCCGCTATAATTGACCTACAAAATTGTAATATTGAATATGGTTATTTGTAAAATTAGAATAAACCCTCACACTATTAATTAGTTTGAGATTAAAAGTATTGATCACTCTAATTTTTAACTTTACAAAATTATTAATTTAATGCCTAATAGTTAAAACTTTACAAAATATCATTTACTCTCAAAAGTAAACAATGTTGTTAAAAATAAATAAATATAGAGGGAATAACATTGTATAAAATTATATGCTTAAAGATAATTTTATAATTAAAGTCAAGAAGAAAAATGAGTAGCTTTTACTATTTCTGGAATTAATATGAGAGGTTTTCAAGGTTACCAATCACTTAAATAGGCTTAGGTTCCTTATGCTTCTAATCTTAAGAATTAATACCATTTATAATATTGTCTGTGGTTGACATATGTATTAGCCATTTGCATAATTTTTTTTTTGAAGTTCTACCTAACTTTTTTTCTTCATAAAAATATGATAGCCTAATCTGATTTGATGATAAAGTTTTTTTAGGCGCTTAAATTGTATTAATTAAGGCCTTTAAATTTTTTTAAAAAAACTTATCTATTTTAGTGTCTAAATTTGTGCAATTTTTAATAAAATAATTGTATAAAATTAACATGTTATGCTAATTTACAAATATTAAGTTATACAAATATATCATAAAATTTTAATTTTGTATGGATAAAACAAATAAGCTAGCTGATATAGGCTGAATAAGTTTTCTTTTTAATTTTTTTTTTAAATCTAGTCACTACATAGAAATCTTCCTACCTATTTTCATCCTTACATATGGCTAAGTTCACAGCATCTTGGCAATTTGTCAACCACAATTTTTTTTTCTCTCTGATCTCACGTGAATTCTTTTTAATCATGCTACCTTTTTCCCTTTTTCTTTTTTCGATAAGCCTAAGTTCTTTTTACATTGGATTTAGATTCATCTCCATGAATATAATGAATTATCAACGGGTAGTGCCCAAATTAAAATAGATCATCATTCCAAAATCTCATCCATCAGAGATTCCGAATGAATTTGATTTTAGGTCCATCACTTACGAAATACAATTCTATTCACGTGAAGGTACTTTCTAAGCCATGGCTTCGATCAATTTAGACAAATTCTACCTTTATGAAATTTCCAGTTAATCTTTCATTTATAACGAGTACTATCAAGCATACATACATAAATAGATCATGCTCTATTGGCTCCAAAAAAGAAAAAGGATAGCGAAGAAGAAAATTCCCATTTCACAAAATTTAGCAGCTTTGTTTTACTTTGACAATTCAAGATATAGTTAGGCAAGCATAAAAATCATAATTTCATGGACAACTATAGATTCTTCTAAGGGGAAGCAAGGTCAGTAGTTTTCAACTTTTCATTAAATTAAATTTGTTTTAAATGTAATTAAAAAAACATGTATCTTAATTTACTGGCCTCGAGCATAACTTGAGTTCTCATCTTTTTAATAATAATAAAAAAATTTCAGCACAACTTGGTGAGTTTATATGCACATATAAGGGTCCTAGTTTGAAGAGGTTATATATTTTAATGATACATTATAAAAATTATTAACAAATCTTCATCTATATATAATAGGTTAATCTTTAATTTGAATTTTTGATTTATAAGTAAAAGCTGATCACCTCACAAATAGTGGAATATCTTTTATTTTTCTTTATTTATTGTTATATTCAAATATTTTTTTTTTCATAATCACTTATAAGAAAATAAAGTAAAAAATAAAAATTAAATTAGCTTACAACATTAGCTTGAATTAACTTATTATGTCTAAACTAATATATATGTACAATTTTTCTTGCATTAGTTCCTCTAAAAATTGATTTATATGTTATACATAAGTTAATGTCATCAGGTTTGTTTTTCAAAAAATTTCCATAAATGCCTATAAAGAATTTTATCTCTAAATAAAACTTTATATGATGGTGCCTCAAGAATCCTTATGATCAAATCTTTACATATATAATTGCATGTGTATGTTCACATAGAGTCAAAACATGCATTTCAACAATTCTACAACTTCTCTAGAATTAATCTCCCGAGAACTAGCATTCAAGAGGAAAACAAAATGGAGAGTTATATTAATAATTTAATGTCTTCCAACTCATCATCATCAAGTTATATATTGCAATGAGATCAATATCGTCACAGTAGCCATTGGATGCGAAAATCCCAAATGGTCTGCATGGACACACATATGATGATACTAAAAGATCTTGTTTCTAACAAGTAGTACTTGTGCGCCTAATTAAACACGTATCGTGAAGAGTCAGAATCAGAATCACATAACTAATCAACAAAACTATCTCAGCAAATTAACTATATATATTTACAAAGTGGACCAAAAACAAGTCCAAAACCGATATATATAGATATGATGATATATAAATATATATAGCCATAGAGAGAGATGGAGTTACATGCATGGATATGGAACATTAATTGTGGTGGGTCTTGTTGTGGAAGATGGAAGGGACTATGTCTTGAAGGAGGCCATATTGATCAGGAAGAAACTGGTTTTGAAGAAGAGAGTTGTTAACAATGTTACTGGGGTGTGAAGAGTAAATGTTGGAGGGAGTAGTAGTAATAGTAGTAGGGTTTGTTGATTGTGTGTTGAAGAGAGTGTTGTGAATGTGATGATGGTGATGCATGTGAAGGAAGAGATCTTGAGGGAAGTTTGACCCGGCTGCGAGTGGAGTTGGTGCGGCTAGCAAAGAAGGTGTGAACATTCCTGCGCCCGCATTCCCTCTCAGCGATGTGGGGACCGGATGGTTGTGCTGACCTTCATACGTTGTTATCACAGTGGTTGGGTCTTGAAAGGACCTCTCCACGCGTTTCTTCACTGTGCACTTCTGGGTAGTGCACCTGTAGTAGCTCCTGCATTTTTCATCCACAATCATCATCAAACTTTCCCACTTCTAAGTACCATTTTTCACTTTGCTTATTAATTACTACATTTTCTAAATAAAGACAATATTCAAGCCATTGTGTAGTTTCATTTGTTGATTTTCACAAGGAGGTGGAATATTAATAATGTCTCATCCAGTAATTAAGTCATGTTAGAAACAGATTCATCTGAAATGTAAGGATCTATGAGTTTGATGGAACTAACATCATCCTTCTTGTAGAAAGAAGCAAAGGGAGAATTTGTGTGTGAACTTGACTTTGATCTTAATTAGGTCCAAAGAAATTAAAGGAGAAAAAGTTGTTTTATATAAATATATATATACCTCGGGTAAGGGCTATTTTTGACAGCTTTTTGTCCATATTTTCTCCATCTGTATCCATCTTCAAGGTGATCAACCTCACTCTTGGTCATGAAGGCAAACCTTGGCTCCTTCTGCTTCTTCTCTCCTTTCTTCTTATCCTTGTTCCTGTTATAAAATTACCCCCAAACAGATTCTAAGTTGCACCATTTAAGCCAAAATAAGAAAAAAGGAAGAAAAGGGTTTCATGTGAAAATGAGAAGAGAAAAAAATTACTTACCCTTTCTTATTAGAGTTTTCTCCTCCTTGATCTTCTGCTTTCACTTGCCTATCTTTTTTGCTCTTTCCTGAATCTTCCTCAGCCCCAGCTTCAGAAGATGAAGAAGAGATAGACGAGTTAAGGGTCGCAAGGGTTTCACTGGCACCACTACCACCACCTCTACCTACATCTCCTCCTTCTGTTGCTGCTACCTTTTGGTTGCCTTCAACAGATGAAAAAACCTCAGATGAAGAAGGAGAAAGGCCAAAAGATGTTGCAAGTGAATTGTAGTCCATGCCCCCTTGCAAACACTCGGTGAAGCTCAAATAAGAGGGATCAAAGGCTTGTGACTCATAGGGTGTTGAACCTGAAGGAATCAAGGAAGAGGAAAAGTGCTTTTGGAACATGGTGTTACTATTGGATCCTCCTGTGCCTTGTTGGTTGTGGTCTAGGACAAGGTCCTGGTAGTAAAGTTCTTTAGGTTCAACAGACATGAAGAGAGAGAGAGAGGAGGAGAATGAAGCAGCACAAGAAAAGAGTAGTGTGAGGTCGTAGGGACTTACTTTGTAGCTTATCTCTTGGAGTTATTAATGTGTATCTGTATTTATAAGATTAAAAAAAATAAAAATAAAAATAAAAAAAAGTCTTTGGGTTTGAATGGAGAGCTGCTATGGTCACTTTTAAAAGGAGGTTGACAAAATACCTTCCAATCAGAAGACCAGAAAGTGCTTTCTCATATGGAAACATTTTCAGTCCATGTTACTTCCATTAAGGAAACTGATCCGTATTAGTTATGCAGACAGGGTGATTGTCACTGGAGCCTGGCCTATATAAATAAATAAAATCAAATGTCTATTGTTAAGTCTACAAGATAAATAAATTAACAAAATATGGAAAACAAACCATACCTAGTAATTAGTTAATTAAATATTAATACGTTTTTTTATAATTAACCTCATGACCAATTCATTAAATCACTCTCATCAGCTACCTATTAAAATATAGTTTAGGAATTCTCTGCTCAAGACAAAATATGTAGTATTTGGTATATAATAGGTATTAATTATATATATAAATTTACTCTTGTAATCTCAATTAATAATATTTGGCAGGAAGAATCTTTAGCCTTTTGAAACTCAAAGAGTTGGCAATAAAAATGTGATTCATTTTTTAAATTTGCTTGACTATTCAGTCCAATTGGGAGTCTTCTACAAAACAATAACTTTTCTTTTCAAACCCCAGATAAAAAAAAAATAAGAAGAAAAAAGAAAAAAAGTTTGTCTATGTTCTCCTTGTTTGCCGAAATCCATGAAACCACTAATTGTATGTGTAAAAAATAAAATACATTAGAATCCAAGGTGTCCCCACCCAGTTAAAATCTTTAGCCGCTGGTCTGTGTTTCCAATTTTTGGGTTGATTAGGAAAAGAATAGTCAAATAAAGCATGGTTGACTGTGATATCGATCTTGTTTTTACGTGATTCTCATCTCTTCTTTTCTAGACATGTGCAAGTGGATGTTGCAATTAAACACTTTTCAATCCTGTAAAATTTCTGCAGTGTTGACAAGGAACATATATAGTTGGTGATTAATTCCATTTTAACAATTTAATTATAAAATTTATTACTTTAAACTTTTTACTTTGATTATATCAAACTCTCCGTTCATGTAATAAATTATTTCTCATTAAATTTCGTATCATTTTATTTCTAATGTAGAATATCAATTTTACAATAAGAACGTGTAAAAGTTAAATTAGGTTTGGTTAGGCAACAATATTCACACATCACAATGTATATATGTATATATATATATATCACGTGTGAAAAGGTTCGAATTAAAATTGGCGCGTATGGTTGGAGGTGGTGCCAGGGCGCGTGGAGTGAGGGTGAGATTAGTGACTGTTGAAGTCAATGATTCAAACTTTTGGACTTATAAATTAGAAAATACAAATTTTGGTTTGGGGATAATAGAAAGGTCACACGTGTTTGGGAGTGGCACCGGCTTTTGACCGTAGCCGACACAGTGGTAGGCACGTGGCGTAGACGGTGTGTGATGACGAGGTGACAACGTCAGCATCTGCAATTTATGGCATTGCTACTATTGAGGTTTGGCAATGAACATAACATTTAACATTATTATTGCATGGCCATGGCGTGTCTCATCCCTTGTTCTCCTTAATTTGGATTTCATCATCTCCTTTTTAGTCCTTTCCTTTTCACTCTCTTTGTTTTTCTTTTTCTAGTACACATGCTTTACGTAAAGGCAATCTAACACTATGCTTGGTTGGTCCAATAATAATAATCAAACTTTTGAAGGCTACCTTTACATAAAAATTCAAATTGAAAGCTAGCATATATGTTGATCCATACTTGGTGTGAGTATCGTATGTTTGTTTGCCATAGATGCCGGAGAAGATAGATAGAGATGATAGTGCAGTTTGCAATTAAGTTGGGGGCACAGTCCAATTAATAGTGACGCTCGTATATGGAGAAAGTCTTATAAGGTCACATTCCAAGAATATATCAACGGTTATCTTCATCACTTACTTAAGGCTATTGTAACTAATACCAACCCTATTTTATTTAATCTTATGTTTTCTCCTTTCTCCTTCCATGCCAGTTAATTAATTAAACATTATTTTAATTTATATTGACAGCTCATTTTGTTCATGCACCTAATTAACCATTAATAACGATATTAACCTTATCACGAATATTGTTACACACTTATTAATTACTTATTTTTGTTGTTGCCGCATGCATCGATCCTTCGTGCGATTTGTAGTTACCTGCGCTGCGCTTCCTTGTTCGTCTTCACTCTTCACTGACCCATGGAATGAGAGAAAATTGAAGAGTCCACTGCAAGCAAGTGCTTGTTTGACCCAAAAAATTAAAATAAAAGACAAGCAAGTGCTTACAAGATGTAAATACCTGGGGAGAATCTTCAGTGACTAATGGAGACCCCAAACAAATTATAATATCAAAAGTCCACACAAATATTAATACTTTTCTCATCCCAACTCCAACATTTAACCCCAAACAAAATAAATTCCTACGCATCAATATCTTTAAATTTAAATAAAAATATGAAAACTATAATAATAATAATAATAATAATAATAATAATAATAATAATAATAATAATTCATCGATAATAAGAATAAAATCCAAGTGTTTGCAATGTAAAGCAGAATCATTATTAGACTTTTGATAAGGATACTAATTGTCGCATGGAGAAGTTCAAGTATTAAATTCACAAGGACTTGCGTTACGATTGGTTAATCTAATTTAATGCTAATTAAGGAGAATAAAGAGAAATATTTGTTTTAAGAACACAAAAAATAAAGAACGTAATTTTATAGTTTCAAGAATAAAAAATAGATTAAAAATAAGAATTAAAAATTAATGAATAAAAGGTGTCAGAATTGATTTCACTAATCTTCCTCACACATATTTTTTCTAATTATTATCCAATTTCAATAATTATTAGGTTAATTCAATAGCCAATAAAAATATTTTAATCCTAATCTCTTAGGCCATAAATTCTAGGTTATTTAAGAGAATTATCAATTCTTTAGTGAAGTTTATTAAGCAATCTACGTTAAGATCAAAGGTATAAAAATTGACTAATAAAACTTATCTTATTCTTTGTAATAAGCACTATTATTGTACTCTTCAAATCGTAGTTCTAAAGGGGTTTCCAAATCTCAATTAATTTTACAAGATCATGTTAAGACCTTTATTGGATTAAGGATAGAAGAACAACAACTAACTAAATAAAAACTTTTATTGGATTAGAACAAGAAAGAATTATATGGAGTAAGATAGCTACATCAATCCTAAACAATAAAAGGACTAAGAAATTTGCTCATAAATACAAATAGAGATCGTTGAAGGATCCATGATTGCAAGGCTATCACTCTCTCTCTCTCTCTCTCTAATTTTTATGAGTAATAGTAAAAAATGAAATTAGTTGTTACATCCCTCCAGCTCAAGTGGGCTTTTTTCATACAAGTCCGCTTAAGCAACATGGCTCACTTAAGTGAGCTTAATGATGTATCCACAATTACATTGTTATATTAGCTCGTTTAGAGCACTCAAATGGCTCGCTTAACTAAATAAAATTTTTTATTGGATAGAACAAGAAAGAGTTACATGGAGTAAGGTAACTACGTCAATCCCAAACAACAAAATGATTAAGGAGTTCGCTCACAGATACAAACAAAGATTGTTAAAGGATCCATGATTGCAAGGCTATCACACTCATTCTCTCTGATCTTTATGAGTAATACTAAAAGCTGAAGTTAGTCACTACATCCCTCAAGCTCTAATTTTATAGTCTTAAGTGGCCTTTTTTTTGCACAAGCCTGGTTGAGCAACAGGTTGACTCACTCAAGTGAGTTTAATGACGTATCCACAATTGCATTACTATATTAGCTCGTTTAGAGCGCTCAAATGGTTTGTTTGAGTGAGTTTTTTATGGTGTTTTAAGAGTGTCTAAAAGGCTAGCTTTGTGCGAGCATGAAGTCGCTTAGAAAGCGCTTCCCTCTTGGTTTGAGTGAATGCTTCCAACATTAGTTCCTTTGTCATTAGCTCTTCCTCCCTGTACGTCAAAACTTAACAAAAAAAATAAAAAAATACTTAAAACTAAAAGAACTCTACTAATTAATTGGACAAAATTAGAATATTAATTTTTTGACAAAAAATTCTAAAATATAAGATATGCTAGATAATTACCTAAATTAAATATCAGATATTAACAAATTTGACAATTATCAATCATCAATGGAGGCAAGAGCAACAAGTGCTTTGATGCAAAGTAGGTACTCTTCAATTGTCTAGTGACGAATGACAAAGTTAGATCAAAGTTGTTTGGCTTTGGTATGAGTTTCATAATGAAAGTAGGAGTGAATTTTGTCCCAAAATTTATAGGAATGATTAAATACAAGAGCATGCATGAAGGTTGAGAGTGACGATTACGGGAGAAGTAATTGATCTTGATTTCCCCAAGCATAAGAATCAGGATTTTCATGATTTTGATCGCAATCTTCCTCGAACTAGTTATGATTAACATGTTAACATGTTCGGTTTGTCAATGCCACAATTAAATATTCTTCTCATCGAGTTTTTCCGTGATTGGGGAGAAAGTTGGAACAACCACTAAAATCGATTCTTCATTTGTGAGGAAAGTCACGAGAGAGGATCAAAGAGTTATGGTTATCATATATATAGAAAAGAAAAATTGCACATTATGAAAATGAGTAAATGTACAAAAGACACTAAGTCACTTATTACAATGACATATTTATATAAAGGCTCAGCTACGGGTTGGTTACAAAAGTGTAACTAAAACAATTACAACTATGAAGAATTATTGTGTTGTAGTTAAAACTAAAATAATACGCAGAAAGTGAGTTATATACTCATAGTTAGAAATGACAAAAAAATCCATTTACTTATCATTTGTTTGATATTTATCTGCAAGAAAGTTTATCCAATTCATATATTATAATAAAAATAAATAGTGGATTAAATTTCTAATTTATTAATTTAATTTTATGGATGATAAGTAATTTATTCACTACTTTTTC